TATCATTCACAAACCTTGTATCTATTCTCAAATGTTTTGATCAATTTAAAAATACAAATGTGTAATAATTAAATCATCTGGGTTATTATTAGGATAATATTTTAACGAGGAGCTATTACTTCCTTTCAGAGAAAGTATTTTTTTTTTTTTTCAAAACAAAAATGTATTTTCGACGATATCAAATAAATTCAATATTAATCACGCTATATATCTCTCTCTCTCTCTCTCTCTCTCTCTCTCTCTCTCTCTCTCTCTCTCTCTCTGACGAAAATGAAATTACATTTAGCCGTCCGTCTAACAAGCACATAAAAGCAGCAATAGCAGTTGTAGCAGTAGTAGTACTAGCAGAGGTGGTGCAAGAAGAGGTGGAAGAGGAGGAGGAGGATGAGGAGGAGGAGGAGGAGGAGGAGGAGGTGGAGTGAAATGGTGGTAAAGCTCTGAACGAAGGTGCGACTATTTGGCAGACATGTTTGGGCTCGTGCGAGATCAAACTCATAATCTGATCGGGCAGTTGCAAACGATAGGTTCGGACCTTATGGACGTTTTGCCAATAGGAATAAATAACGCGTTTAATGCAAACGTAATATACATCGTGATATTCGATGTTCATCGAAAAATATATTTCTCTGGTAACATAGAATCGTTTAATTTACGATACTATCATATACGAGTTCAAGTTGTGTATGGATATACACACATACACACGCGTGTTCCTATATAAATGAGAGAACTTAATTATTATTAATAAATAAGTATCGTAGGGAAATTGAATATTAAAAGAACTAGAATTTAGTTTTGATTAATTGAACTTTTCGTACTTTTATTAGGACTTCTTCAGCAACCTAATCTTTAAAGTTCAGCATCTTTTTCATTTGAGCAGATATACATTCTTGTAATATTCAAAAAACTAAACATCTAAACTTCGTTTTATTTGAACACTCAAACAAAACATATTAATTAATATAATTTTTGCTATTTGTGTGTAAATTTTGGCTAAAGGATTCTTCTTTTTGTTTTTTTTTACGTATAGAACAAGTATATTTAATTCGATTTAAATAGAATATCGTAATCGTTCTATGCGTTATTTTCGTAAGTACGAAACTTGAAAATCGGCTAGCCGAAAATGAAAATCAAATTAAGTGCCGAGCTCGTCGCTGTCTACTCTCGAAACCGCGAGAATTTAGTGTACGGTCGATAAAATTTATTTAATTTCACTCAGAAAAAAAAAACTTCACGTCAATTTGTAACCATGGTAACCGCATTATCGATTTTCTACCGGTACCAAACTTACATTACTTTTACAATAACCAACTTCACATTATTATTATTACGTATTATCATTATTATTGGCTTTAACACGATTTCAACGAGCGATAATCAAATTGACAAGAGCATTTTCTTCCTGGTTAAATTTCTTTTTTTTTTTCTTCAAAAAACTTCCCTGTTGCTTTTCTCGATACTGCTAAAAGTGTTTGCTCTGGTTCGTTGCTTCATCTTCTTCTTAAACGCGAATTATATAAAAAAAAAAAAAAAAATCCAATAAAATAAAATAAAACGAAACGAGGGTATGAGAAATGAATTGTGAGGGCATTTTAATAAAGTTATGAAGAATAATTTGTTAAAAAAGTAACAGAAGGGGAGAAAAACTCGTGATCTCTAGAATACTCGATAAATTTTCGGGGTTCCCGCTTCAATTAGGTTTAAAATCGTAAAAATTACTTGGCAATCCTATAAACGAGAAGAGTCGTCCCTTTCTCGGACGAAGAAGATTCGGGGTTAGAAGGATAAGGAGGGGATGGTTTAGACGAGAAGAAACCACCACCGTTGACGTTTTTCCTACCAGTTTTCCGGAGGAAGTCATTTCGACTGTTTAATGAAATTTTAAACAATTTTTTCTTCCCCCTTCGACTCGATGCAATATATAAACTGCTTGCTACAGACGAATCTCGAGATTTTTCCATTTCTTTCTTCGAACGTTATTCTCTTTTCGCAAACGTATTCCTAAAATAGATTATCTTTTTTTTCTCTCGTTGGTAACGAATTAAAATAAAAAAAAAAAAGGAAACAAAACATTATAACCTCGATAAAAATAATAAAAATCGATTGATCCTAATAATATTTGTAACACCTGACGTGAAATATAAAAGTCAATTATTTCTTCTTCTTCTTCTTATTATTATTATTAAGTTTCACAAAGTAGGATAATAATAACTATAATATGATAAAATTAGAAAAATGCAATTGAGAGCGAGAAACCCTATTTCATGTTCATGAATATCGACTAAGCTAGTCGAATATGCATTATTCTAAGAACTACTAACTAACTTTAAATCAGTTTGAAACGATATCACCGTAACTGCGGGGTGGGGGGGGGGGTATGGGGTTTGATCCTCCTATCGTTAATAAATGAATTAGCGTCTCGTACAGGTAACAAATAAAATTGCAAATTGTAATCAAAATAATATACAACGTTAACATATATAATTACAATATTAATATATAACTCTTGATTAAAGTTTTACCTATTAGTTTAACTATTTCACGAGAGAATTAAAGTTTTTATATTTTCACCCCCATTAGATTATCATTATATCGTAGCTAATTATTATTTAACGTGTGTATACCAATATATTAACTCACGTATATTATCTAATATCTATACGTTCTCATCTGTCCGATCAACATTCATACATTTATTTATATAATCTAAACAAACATGAATCGCGAGACTCTATGTATTATATATTCGCATCTTGAAAACGAATAATCGATCAGTGCGAGGTGAATTTTAATTAAATGTAAAGGCAAAGCTATGGAATTGTTTTATCGCAAAGCAAGTTGGAAACAAAAGGGGGATAGGAAACCGAATAAAACGAAAAAAAAAAAGCGGAGAGATCGAAGGTAAACAAGCGATCGTTTTCCATCCCCCTAAAAAAAAAAGCCACCCACTCTCTTCCCAGCCCGACCTACATATCGAACACCATCGATTATCCGGTTACAAGGCGAGAGAAAGAACTTTGCCGTAAAATAATGCCGATGGTGAATTGAGACTCCGACATTTTCATTTCCGTTACCTGGGGTGTCATCGAACGCGGAGATGAATTCATACGTGCGTAAGTAAATCGCTGGAGAGTTATGCGAGTCCGGTTCGTGATAACTTTTTTTTCTACCCTTTTGTTTTTTCCTCTTTTTTTCTTTCAAATCTTTACTCTATTCGTTCTTTTTCTTCTTTTTTTTTTTTTAAACCAGGAAATTATACACGCGCAATTCCTGCTACCACTTTTTTTAAGATTTTAAACCGATTTTTTGTTCCTCGCATCATTTGCCATAGTGTCGACTTTGAAATCATAGTAAGCTTTAAACGTTAGTGATTCGAGAATGAAGATGAGGTAGAGCCGTTTAAAAAATGTGTGCTCCAGGAGATTCCTCGAAAAGAGAAACGTTCATTTTCAGGAGGGATTGGTGGGGTCGGTTGGTTGGCCAGTTCTGGATAGTAAAAGGAAAGATAGGAAAGAGTAGGACGACGAATCTTATGCTCATAGTAACGAAGACAGAAAGAAAAGGAAAGAATGAGAAAGAAGGAGGGAAAAAGGGGGGGAGGGAGAAGAGGTAGCCGCTTAACAAACTGCTGAACTCACACCCCGTGGGATTTTATTTCTACTTAAATGGAGCTGCCGAGATACGCAGTTCGATTCGTGCCGAACCGTTTTCCACAAACTCGGAATTTATTTGCACCGTTCGTTAACTCCCGTTTTCCTTCCTCCTCCCTTTTCCTTTTCCTTTTTCGTCGTCGTCGTCTTCCTCCTCCTTCTCCTCCTCCTCCTCCTTCTCCTCCTCTTCCTACTTCTCTTACTTCTCTTCAACCTCTTCTTCTTCTTCTTCTTCTTCTTCTTCTTCTTCTTCCTTCTTCACTTTCATCCCCCTTTTCTTCTTACTTCAACTCCTTTACTCCTTCACCATCGAACGAACGAACGAACGAATGAACGAATTAACGAATAAACGAACTCCTATCCTTTCTACAACTCTCCCATGGAACTTTTCTGTTTTTGAATTACGCGCGATAATGCCGTGGAACACGATTCAAGGTGAGAATTCGCGCGAGAAAAGGAAAATGGTAGGAAAAGTTATTGAGAGAGAGAGTGAGAGTGAGAGAGAGAGAGAGAGAGAGAGAGAGAGAAGGGCTATTATCCCACTAGAGAAGATTTCTAATGGAAACCTCGATCGATTCTCGTTCATCTTTCTATGGAAATAAATATGCCAACTTCTCGAGTAAGGCCAATTCTACCATAAATGCGAAATAACGATTATTATCTTAATCGTGAGTGAGAAAACTATAGAAAAAAATCAACAAAGAGAGAGAGAGAGAGAGACAAAATAGAACAAGAAAAAAAACTATTGAAGAGAGAAAAGAAAGAGAGAGAGAGAGAGAGAGAGAGAGAGAGAGAGAGAGAGAGATTGTTAACGACGTTAATTGCATTTTACGTAGGACTTTGAACGCGTGTAATAAAATTTTTTCTGTTTCATTTTTTTTTTCTTTTAATACCTTTTTATAACTATTTGCTTCCCTCCCCCCTCCCCCTCCCACCTCTCTCTCTCTCTCTTTTTCTCTCTTTCCCTGCCCTACCCTCCCCCTTTTCCCCCTATTCCAAAAATTATAGCAACCGGTAATATACGCGGGTCTCGGTTAACGAGATGCTCGATTATAATTACGTGCGGTTGGCATTAATTAATCGGTAAACGCGCGTGAGTTTACCGCGAAATTCATGCGGCTCACCTTGTACGGACCGAGATTCTCCACGATGCAGGTGAAGATGGCCTCACGACCAACTGAGATGGTGAGATTGTTCAGCGGTTTCCCGAATTTTGGTAATTCTGTAACAGAATCGTGAGTATATCTTTGTGAATAAAATATAAACGATAACCGAACAAATAAAATGGTTTTACTTTAAAATCGGACAAGATAGAAAGATAGAAAGAGAGAGAAAGAGAGAGTGAGTTTAGGTTACGGTTAGAAGAATTAGATAAGAAAATAAAGAGTATATATATATATGTCATTTGAGAAAGTTAAACATTAATGCACAGTTACAGTTATACAGTTATATCATGGGATTTCTTTTGGTTTAAACCACTCGACTTGTTTCATCTTACTTACTTACTTTTACTTTTACTTTTACTTATTCGCATCCTTGCTTGCTTGCTTGCTTGCTTGCTTGTTTGCTTACTTACTTTACTTACTTACTTACTTTACTTACTTAGTTACTTACTTACTTACTTACTTACTTACTTACTTACAGTGTTACTTACTAGTACATACTTATAGCCCACCTACGAGCGTGTGAAAGTTTGCAAAGTACTCCAGGCGTGCGGTAGTGAATAGGGCGAGTTAACGTAAACGGGTCAAGCGCGGAGACTAAGCCGAGCTTCTTTATATTACTCGAGCAAAATCCTTATCTCGCACCGATCTCCGAGAATCGCGTTAAATTATCGCACGGAACGGAATACTCTTCTTCGGTGTTCGTTTCGTAGCAATAGAAGGGGTGCTAGTACTGGTATTGGTACTGGTACTGGTCATAGTGGTGGTGGTAGGAACAGGTAAAGTAGAAAATGAGAGAGAGAGAGAGAGAGAGATAAAAGAATATCGGGGAGACGTCAAATAAAGAGAGGAAGATAAAAAGTGTTTTTGCGAGTGGAAGAGAGAGAGAGAGAGAGAGAGATAAAATAAGAATAAGATGGAAAATAAATAGATGAGAAACACTGTGATCCGGTAGGATAGTTTGCGTTAATAACGTCGAATGTTAATTAACCGTCAGCCACATCTCAAGACACATTTATCTCGTTGGATGTCGCTTTTGCAAAGTTAGACCTTTGCTCTCTCTTTCTCTCTTTCTATCTTTCTACGACAAATTATCTGACAAACAGCACTGAGTTACAATCATACTAAGCTGCTTCTCGTGTCTTTTTCTTTCTCCTCCTCCCCCTCCCCTACCCCCACCGATCCCCCCTTCGTTTTAACCGATTGGTTAGGTACATCCTTTTCACGGAAAATGGTTTACTATTTGAGAGACGTCTTATATATATTTTCATTATCTTAACAAGGATATTATATTCCTTTTCTACAACAGTTATAAACTATCAAACCTTTTTACAAAGGAAGATATTTTCCAACTACTATACACTACTATACAATTTTACCAGATATTTATTTGCGTCGGTGTTATGTCACAAATGAAATGAAATAGAAATGAAAATTTACTTCATTAACTTCGTTTCCTCTATATTTCTATCTCTCTTTATCATTTTCTCTTTAGATATTTATTTAATAAAGGTTTCAAACTTCTTACAGAATATTCGAGACAATTATCGTATACAAAGGTGTATTAATTTGCTTGCACCCTGTCATTTTCATTTTTATTTTTTTTTTATAGTTTTCAATGTCTTTTACAAGATTAAGAATGAAAGAAATATTACGACAATAGAAATGTATATAACTATCTCTCTTTCTCTCTCTTTCAAATTGAAAATCAACTAGTCTAGACTTCGAATTATTTGTTTATTTATATAATAATCGAATTATTTTCTCCTCTATTTTTTCCGTTCTCCTTTTTCTTTCCACCCCTGGACAAAACACTTGTTCAACGTTATTATTAGATCGCGTAAACGCAATCTGTGTATATGTGTATATTTTATAAGTAATATCCATCAAAAGTTTACAATCAATGTATTATTATTACAATTCGGATCATTAATTACTGCGAATGTGGGTAGACGAATTCAATATCAATTTCTGCATCATCCGACTTATTCCTCTCGTATGCTATTTTGGCTACCGGATAAAAATATTTTTCTGCGGTCTCTGGTTTCGATTTTACCGTTTACCAATCTGCAAGTTCCGTTTAACGTAAAAGCTTGACCACGAAAGTTCAAACGATCAACGTTTAAGTGGAGAGGAACGTCAAATTCAAAGGTACTCCTTTCATCGTTTTCCATAAAATTTATCACGTGACGTATTCAAAGTAAATACATACATATATACATATATATATATATGTGTATATAGGAAAATGTTTGAAGCTATAAGTGAGAGAAACCCGATGAGAGAAATTTTGGTTAAACGAATGATAAAAGTCAACGTTATTTCATAATACCGAATTCGGTGCATCGACCATTACGAACCGATAATAACGATAATAACGATAATCATGTCAATAAGATAAAGAGATTATTTATTAACTCATTTACTCGATTGTTATCCTACGGAAGAACTATTGCGTCATTTCTAAATATAATAAAAGGAAATTTTATTTAAATATCCAATCGCATTAACGTGAAATTTTGTATCTCATTTTTTTTTTTATTTAGTTGCTCGTTTGATATGTTTTATGCATTTTTGTTTCTTTTTTTTTGATACTCTAATTTAACATTTTAATATTAAAAGTATTACACTTGTCAATTTAAATGAATACTCGAACAAAATGAATACATTTGATTCGTTATTATTTATATATTTTTCATATATATCCATATTTTTGTTGATATGAATTATTTGAAAAATTAGGACGTATATTTTGATAGTATAATTAATTATTAGAGAAAGGTGATTAAATATTATAGGATCTTAATTCTTGATGGCAAATAAAATTCGGCATTTTCCTGATGAAGTTAGTTCTGAATGGATCAAAGATTAAAGCAGTAAAGTGGAAAACCCGAGTTCAATGCCCCCCCCCCTTTCCCAACCCCCATCAAGTCAATCAAACGGCCCAATTTTTATTTCACGAATCTAACAATATGCGATTCAACAATGATAAAACGTGAAAAGTGATTCAAAAATACTTTTCGTTAAATGAAATATATTTCAGTAATGAATTATTATATGTGAAAAGAAAAGTTGTTGAAAATACTCGAACGTATTCGATAATACGAATGATTAATAGGAATAGATAATTAAATAATATGATAAAAGAAAAAAAAAAAACAAAAAAGATCAATCAAAAGGATATTTTCGATGATCCAATGATGTTTCCCAGTAAAACAATGTATTCCCTTGCGAAAGTAGGATAAGACGAGAAGAAAAGAATTGTGTCTAGGGATCGAAAAAGGTCTGTTTAAGATTGCACACCTCGAGGTACAATTTTAATTGAACCGAAAGCTCTATCAAGAAAGAAGAAAGAAGAAAAGAAAAAATAACAGAAGATTTTCATCGGGACGATTCGGTTTATCCTTTACGAAAGAAAATCCCATTGGAGTCTGTGATACTAATCGTTAAATAAATAAATCGGCGGGGAAAAAAGAATAAAAAACAAAAAAGTAAAACAACAAAACAATTTCGATTTCGGTTTGTCTTATTTTCACTGATAGAATAATATCGGATTTTAGAAAATATTCTAACAAAGGAATAATAATAAGAGAATTTGAGAGATTATATAATCAAGAACGATTATAGTGATACTTTTAATCATCTCTCGCGAATGTATTAAAAGCTTTTGAATATTTAATAAGTATATATATATATATATGTGTGTGTGTGTGTAGTAGAAAGATTTAAAGCAATGTTTCTAATCTTCTGCTTGACCTTTCGGAAGTCTATGTAAATCCTGCAAAAGGGAATAGAAAGATCGAATAAGACGAGAGAAATGGGGAAAGAAAAAGAGAGAAAGAGAAAGAGAAAGAGAGAGAGAGAGAGAGATAGGTTGATGTAGGAAAGGACAAAGAAGAGAAGGTATCGAAGGACGAAACCCGAAACGAGTTTCGAATCCCAGCACGTTCAGGTATTATCATTCATGGAGGCGGATTTCATTCGAAAATAAACGTAACGATTTGATCCTTAGATCGAGGAATCGCGATATTGATCTTCTCGATGACCGGCTAAACGAGTTTGCGTTTCCATAATTGCTATCATGAAATATGTAAGAAATTGCTTTTGAATTTTCTCTCGAGAACGAACGGGAAGTGTATAGGGAGTAAGGAAAAGAAAACTAATTCAGAAAAATGCAGAGAAGATTACGAAAAGGAATAAGAATGAGAATAAGAATAAGTAGAATAAGAAGGGGTGGGAGGGGGTGGTGGAGGGGGKGGGAGAGTTGGAAAAAAAAAAAAAAGAAAAAGGAAGAAGAAGATTACGAGAAGAAGATTACAGAAGATGCAATGAAATTCATCTTAGAAAGTCGAGGAGCAATGTCATTCTTCTATTTGAAAGAATAGAAAGTATTACGAGAGAGAGAGAGAGAGATATACTGAAGAAACCATCAATCCTTGACGCGTCGTCACGTTCATCCGAAAAGAACGTTCTTCTTTTCTTCAGAGAAAGCTAACTTCATGAGCCTATAGACGATACCTATCTATCATTCTCTTTCGTCATTTCGTTAAAAGATTGCTACCAATTATTACTAAGTTTACTCTTAGGGAAGTTGTTTTTTGGACGGGTTTAATTAAGATGAACACTATATTTATCCGTTGAACGTTTCGTCTCTATTTGAGACTTCCTCAGCAACTAAAATTATTTATTATGACATATTATTTTATATACAAATACT